CATCCAGGTCTGGCCGGCCTGCAGCCCTCTGCTTTTGTCCAGATGGGATGGGGCCCTGAAGACGTTTTGTTGTGGGTCAGGCCAAGAAAGTGGAACGCTCTTGGAGTTTTTCGTTTTAAATGGTTCTCGATGGATTCCGTAAAGTTTTTTATCGATTTCCGCTCGGTACCAGCCAATTAAAAAAATCGTTATCGATTCAACGTCGTGTCTAATTACTCTTTAAAAAATATTTGAAAACATTTAAATATGCACTGACTCAGAACGTAATGATAATAATGTCTATTAATAGTTGCCACCAGTTTTTTTGCTGTGGTCAGAGCAATTTATCCGCAGTCATAAAGTTTCAAGTTCAAATCCCAGCCAGGGATCGTTTTCACCCATCTCATGTGTGAGGTTGATGAAAATGAGTTGCAGCTCTCGGAATGTTGACAGTCCATGTCGCACAAATGGACGGACCCCTTCCATAGGAATGTGGAATTTTCATCAATTAGCTCTAAAGGGATGCAATGGTTGATGAGCATCACTCACTTGTCATACATGAAGATCCTGCAGCCCGTGATAGTCTAATAGTTGCATGTATGTATGTTGAACTTCTTTCGCACCGTATGTAGCCAGCCGCGCTAATAAGAGGTACTGTTACATAAGCTGTCAAAAAAATGTATAAAATATTGTTGAACAAAAAAAATGCGACATTCTTTCAACGACTGTGAGCTCTTGCGTTCTTTAAGTTGGTATTAAGTGGTTGAGAAAGTGTCCGGGCACTTGTGTGTGTGTGTGCGCATGACTACGGTCGTGTATGTGTCTACAGTTGTGTCGTGGTTCGTGTGGGATTCACTGCCTTCACTGTACCACATTCCCAAATGCCCTGTACAGGATTTATACGGCAGCATCTCTTTAAATGCTGAAGAACTGTGTGTCTGTGTGAACACGTATTATCATTACCTTTCGTGAATTACCAAATGTACGCAAGTTCGGTTCCGTCAGGTGCAGGATGCCCGTTGGACTATCCGGTCACAATTGTCAAGCTCTGACTTTCAAGGAATAAAATGTTTCTCTGAGAATGTATTCAGTGAATTAAATTAAAATAAAACAAGCATTTTTATACCTATAAATATGGATTATATTATCGCAGAGCGTTTCACCCTGGGTTGGGCTCGTGTCTGGCTATGAACATTGCTTTTAGAAACGAGGAAGTGGACATCCGCACTGGCCTGAGTATTACACCGTACGTTGCGGGAGCCCACGTGCTCCTTGAGGTCCCAGCTGATTGTGAATGAAGTCGGCGTGCTTGCGTGCTCCGTGCGTTCATTCGCAACTTCGCCCTGAAGCCACTGTGCCGAAGCCGTTGGAGGAGCGCGCACAACCTCGGTGCTTGTCGAAAGACGTTCAACATTATTACGTGCGTCACTCCTATACCCGCACTGTTTGAACAACTACCATCGCATATCTCCCGCTAACTGATTAACCTCCTGCAAACCGGTGCACTTTTTTATTGCACGGCATAGTGATAATTTTCCATTGATGTTCAAGATCCGACCGTTTCATGTATCGTCTACATTCCAGTTCCCAATGAGTTGGATGTGTGACCTACAGTGTATAGACAAACAGTACAAGGACCTTGCGAATTCTTATGATTCAGTGTTGATGCCTGAATCGATGCTACCCTTACAATACGGTTCCTTCATTTTCTTGTTTTACGCAATTTTTATTTCATAGTGGCAGTAAGGGGTGCCACGGTGGCAAGATGTTATCTCCCTCTCCTTGTATGCAGGAAGTCGTGGATTCGATCTCAAACCTGACGCCTGCTTTATATTCGGAGTTTGCGATGTCTCTCTCCCCGCGGTCGTGTGGATTTTTCTCTGGGTCCCTTCCACATTTAGAATCAACATCACGTGTTTAGAGTATTTGGCTGCTGTAATTTTCCTCGCGATAAGCCACTTCATTGAGCTAATATTTGTGACCAGGTCGCTTCTGAAAAAAAGCAATATAGCTCAGTAGGCCTAGTATTTTTTTAAAATTGCCGATGCTTTATGAAATGTGCGTACAAGTTAGCGCTATCCCTGTGTTGTTGCCTCCCGCAAGAATGTTACCGCGATTGTTCGAGTGTTAGTCCACCGTCTCCTCGCCCTTTGCCCACGCCCAGCTATTTTCACGAGATCTCCCTTTCCAAGCAGAGAAAGAAAATCGTCGTTTAAATGTTATCTCTCACGTGGTTCACGTCAAGGGTTTTATTGATTGAACAGAGGTTTTCATTCCTGGATGAGCTCACGGGTGGAAATTTGGCAATCTGCGTTTTCTACCAGAAGCCACTCACTCCTGGGTCAGCTGATCCTAGGGTCGGGGTCGGCAACTCACGGCTCCGGAGCCGCGTGCAGCTCTTTAAGGACCGCTTCGTGACGTCATTCATTAAGGACCACCGTCACGTATTCACGTCGCATTGGCAGCTCTTGAAACATCGAGCGTTTTTTTTTACCGAATTCGAAAATAAAAAATAATCTTGTTGTTTTGGTTGCCGACCCCTGTCCTAGAGTCGTAACTACTGTACTTGGGTGCGGTGTGGTCAACATCAGCACTGGGGAGACAAAGGCGACCCGGCCTGTGCCGTGCTCACCCCTTTACCCCACCGCGCGCTGCGCCGGCCTTAATAGGTGCTCACCAATGGCTCCTGTCCCTGTTTATTATGCCAACAAGGGCATCTTTGTGTTCATGTGTTTACGAGTGAGTGTGTGTGCGTGTGTTATTAATATTTCCCAGCAATATGCTGCATAACTGCTGGAGGCATATGGTCTGCTTACCAGTTCAATTATTCCAAACATGAACATATGTTCTGGATTTGGGGCAATTTTCATCTGATTTATTCTATACCGGGTTAGGTGATGGCAGATAGTGATGTTACTCTAAGGTGAATTCAGATGTGTGTGTGTGCTTCTATTTTGTTGTCTACTTGTTTGTCTACTTGCTTGTCTACGTGCGTGAGTGCGTCACGTTGATGTAGCTGCATGCATGTACGTATCTGTACTGCTGCATGCATGTACGTGTCTGTACTGCTGCATGCATGTACGTGTCTGTACTGCTGCATGCATTTACGTGTCTGTACTGCTGCATGCGTGTACGTGTCTGTACTGCTGTCTGTTTGTCTGTACCCCTGTACCCCTGTGTGTGTCTTTTTATACCCCTGTGTGTCCATATCGCTGTACCCTGTCTCCTTACCTCTGTCTCCATTGTCCCATGTTTCTGCCTGATTGTGTATGTGTCTGTACGTCTTTGTGTTCACGTCTTTGTGTACACGTCCTTGCACCCATGGGAGTACGTCTTCCTGACCCGCTGTGCTCACGCTTCTGTACTGGCTCCACCCCTGTATGTGCTCAATGTCTGATCTCTGTGCACTCTGTACATGTGTCCCCTGGTACCCTGTGTGTGTGTCTCTGCCCCGTGCTTGTGTGTGTGTGTGTCCCATGTTTGTTGGCCTCTGTACTCCTGTGTATAATGTACACACCCTGTGTGTCCATGTATTTGTCCCTGTATATGTTCCTGTACACTTGTGTGTATATTTACGTCGCTTCACCTTAGTGTACATTTCGATTTAAAGCTTTCGTGACTGCAGGGATTCATCTTCTTGGTTCTTTCGGTAAAGTCACGTAGAAGGGAAGTAATAAAATAATAAAAATAAAACATAATAAAACAATTCTCACGACGTTTCGGCCACAACGCAAGCAGCCGTCCTCAGGTGAAAACCAGGTCCGTCGAGGCGACAGAGTCTGAATGAAACAGCACACGAGCTTGGAGCATATATATAAGCTGGGCGCATTGACAAAGGAATTTGCATATCAAAAGGAATTTAGCATATTTATGGGAAATGCAGGAATGTGCATTATGCAGGATTAACAGCATCAAAGGGAGCTGCAGTTACTGCTGCAGCAGCAGTTGCTGCTGCTGCTGCAGCAGTAACTGCAGCTCCCTTTGATGCTGTTAATCCTGCATAATGCACATGCATATGCAGTACTAATCACATTCCTGCATTTCCCATAAATATGCTAAATTCCTTTTGATATGCAAATTCCTTTGTCAATGCGCCCAGCTTATATATATGCTCCAAGCTCGTGTGTTGTTTCATTCAGACTCTGTCGCCTCGACGGACCTGGTTTTCTCCTTAGTGTACATGTTCCTATACCGTTGTGTGTAAATCTGTTTCTACCTTTATATGCATATATCCGTACCTCTTTCTCTATCCCTGTGTGTGCGCCTTTACCCCCGTGTGAACAATTACTCGTGTGTGCATGTCTCTACCTCTGTTCCCCCTGCTCCCCATGTGAGATACTGCCGTGATGTAACAGTTATTAAGGTTATCGTACTCTGGACTCGCAATCCAGAGGTCGCCGGTTCGACCTCCAGGCGTGGCAGTTGCAAACAACCTGCGAGTTTCTTACGTTGCCCTGCCTCTGTCCACCGAGTGGTACAAATGGTTCATATTCTTAGGTTTTTTCGGTAAAGTCACGTAGGTAAAAAATTAAAATTAATAAAAGTAAAATAAAAATAAAATAAAAATCACGACGTTTCGGAGGCAACACAAGCCTCCGTCTTCAGGTCCAAGAAAACAGTCCTTGTCTATATACTTTTATTTTTATTTTACTTTTATTAATTTAATTTTTTTACCTACGTGACTTTCCCAAAAAAACCTAAGAATGTGAATCCTTGCAGTCACGATAGCTTCAAATCTAGAATTGGTACAAAATGGGTTCGCCGCACTCGATTGGCAGGTTGCATGCCGTGGGGTTGAAGCGTTAAAGATGCTTTCTCGTCTCGTGAGGCGTCGTACAAGATACCTTCCCGAAGGGATATCTCGAGTTTCCTCTAGCGGAGGCCAATCTCTCGTGACAGCGGTTTGTGAGCGAGTGGTCGAGGGGCTGAACCCTGACCTCACGCGCGTATTGTTCGTCCTCCCCTGTCTCTCACCCCCCCCGCACCCCCCCCCGCACCCCCCCCCCCCCCCCCCCCCCCAGAATGCGTGCCCCCGTGGGCGGAGCTCGCTGAGCGCCTGGCGGTGACGTCGCTGCAGCAGCGAGGAGGCTCCACGTCGTGCGTGGTGCACATCCGCGCGCCCGCCGGCCACTTGGTGGCCCTCAACGTGACGAGGCTCGCGGCCCACGGGCGCGCGGCGCCAGCGGCGGCCCCGCTGGTCCCGCAGCAGCACGCTCCCCCGCCGCCGCCGGGCCTGCACGTCCACGCGTCGCCCGCTCCCTCCGGCCCGCCCGCGCCATACCTACCTCCCGGTCAGTGCCGGCAAAATTTCTTCCATCGAACTTTCGTAAATCGAGGGATACGTGTGCAAGTATCGAATTGTGTACTTTTATCGTGATTAGTTGTGCCTAACTAAGTAGCAGTGGATGGTGGTAACAACTAGAAAAGCAAGTTACCAAGGCACAACATTTTATATAGCCTCCCGTGTGGGTCGTGGGAGTTAGTTGGACATATTGGCGGTACATCGGTGCAACATAACACTCTGGCCCTCATTAAACAGTTTAAAATCTAAATTTGAATCCGCAAATCTGTCTACCAGTCTTTAATTTATTCAGTCTACTGAGAATTGCTAAAAAAGGTCAACATTGACCGTTGATTTGGGTCTGTTGAATCGAGGAACCCATCCGATCAAGTCTAGGGCATGAGTCAAAACATAGAGCAGCCGATGGTCATCAGGCTGGGTGCTGCTATACGGCAACAGCCTGCGAAGCTTCATATTCAGCTGCTCACGTAACGTTCATCTTCCGACTGCTTCGAAATCATGAGAACTGATTTTGACGCACCAGCACCACCACCCCGCAAAAATTTCTGACTGGGCTTGCGAATCGCCAATATGTTCATGTAACCGCACTTTACCATGCCGGTCGGTGCAGGTTGGAAGCTACACGCGTGCCAACGCTGACCCCGCAAACCAGACTTCCCTCGAGTAGATATGGTGTTGTGATCTTGATATGAAAAACATTCTGGGATTTATGTTGTGTTTTGCGGATTGAGAAAGCTTTCTGCGCATGAATCATGACTTGTCTCCATCCCGCACACATTCTCTTCTGGCTCATGCATTCCGCTCCTGAGCTAGAGAAACTACTTGAATTTGTTTTTTGTTAAAATTCATTTTGGCAATGCCCACCATGGCCTGATCCACTTCATCTTTCGTCTCACGTACAGTATGCCACTCTGGTTTCACAAACACACACCCTTGGGCAAACACCACACCTTAACCCACACTGTCCTGGTCTAACACCTTAACCCACACTGTCCTGGTCTCACACCTTAACCCACACTGTCCTGATCTAACACCTTAACCCACACTGTCCTGGTCTCACACCTTAACCCACACTGTCCTGGTCTCACACCTTAACCCACACTGTCCTGGTCTCACACCTTAACCCACACTGTCCTGGTCTAATACCTTAACCCACTCTGTCCTGGTCTCACACCTTAACCCACACTGTCCTGGTCTCACACCTTAACCCACACTGTCCTGGTCTCACACCTTAACCCACACTGTCCTGGTCTCACACCTTAACCCACACTGTTCTGGTCTAACACCTTAACCCACACTGTCCTGGTCTCACACCTTAACCCACTCTGTCCTGGTCTCACACCTTAACCCACACTGTCCTGGTCTCACACCTTAACCCACACTGTCCTGGTCTCACACCTTAACCCACACTGTCCTGGTCTCACACCTTAACCCACACTGTCCTGGTCTCACACCTTAACCCACACTGTCCTGGTCTCACACCCTAACCCACACTGTCCTGGTCTAACACCTTAACCCACACTGTCCTGGTCTCACACCTTAACCCACTCTGTCCTGGTCTAACACCTTAACCCACACTGTCCTGGTCTCACACCTTAACCCACACTGTCCTGGTCTCACACCTTAACCCACACTGTCCTGGTCTCACACCTTAACCCACACTGTCCTGGTCTCACACCTTAACCCACACTGTCCTGGTCTCACACCTTAACCCACACTGTCCTGGTCTCACACCTTAACCCACACTGTCCTGGTCTCACACCTTAACCCACACTGTCCTGGTCTCACACCTTAACCCACACTGTCCTGGTCTCACACCTTAACCCACACTGTCCTGGTCTCACACCTTAACCCACTCTGTCCTGGTCTCACACCTTAACCCACACTGTCCTGGTCTCACACCTTAACCCACTCTGTCCTGGTCTCACACCTTAACCCACACTGTCCTGGTCTCACACCTTAACCCACACTGTCCTGGTCTCACACCTTAACCCACACTGTCCTGGTCTCACACCTTAACCCACACTGTCCTGGTCTCACACCTTAACCCACACTGTCCTGGTCTCACACCTTAACCCACTCTGTCCTGGTCTCACACCTTAACCCACACTGTCCTGGTCTCACACCTTAACCCACACTGTCCTGGTCTAACACCTTAACCCACACTGTCCTGGTCTCACACCTTAACCCACACTGTCCTGGTCTCACACCTTAACCCACACTGTCCTGGTCTCACACCTTAACCCACACTGTCCTGGTCTAACACCTTAACCCACACTGTCCTGGTCTCACACCTTAACCCACACTGTCCTGGTCTAACACCTTAACCCACACTGTCCTGGTCTCACACCTTAACCCACACTGTCCTGGTCTCACACCTTAACCCACTCTGTCCTGGTCTAACACCTTAACCCACTCTGTCCTGGTCTCACACCTTAACCCACACTGTCCTGGTCTAACACCTTAACCCACACTGTCCTGGTCTCACACCTTAACCCACTCTGTCCTGGTCTCACACCTTAACCCACACTGTCCTGGTCTCACACCTTAACCCACACTGTTCTGGTCTAACACCTTAACCCACACTGTCCTGGTCTCACACCTTAACCCACACTGTCCTGGTCTCACACCTTAACCCACACTGTCCTGATCTAACACCTTAACCCACACTGTCCTGGTCTCACACCTTAACCCACACTGTCCTGGTCTCACACCTTAACCCACACTGTCCTGGTCTAACACCTTAACCCACACTGTCCTGGTCTCACACCTTAACCCACACTGTCCTGGTCTCACACCTTAACCCACACTGTCCTGGTCTCACACCTTAACCCACACTGTCCTGGTCTCACACCTTAACCCACACTGTCCTGGTCTCACACTTTAACCCACTCTGTCCTGGTCTCACACCTTAACCCACACTGTCCTGGTCTCACACCTTAACCCACTCTGTCCTGGTCTCACACCTTAACCCACACTGTCCTGGTCTCATACCTTAACCCACACTGTCCTGGTCTCACACCTTAACCCACACTGTCCTGGTCTCACACCTTAACCCACACTGTCCTGGTCTCACACCTTAACCCACACTGTCCTGGTCTCACACCTTAACCCACACTGTCCTGGTCTCACACCTTAACCCACACTGTCCTGGTCTAACACCTTAACCCACTCTGTCCTGGTCTCACACCTTAACCCACACTGTCCTGGTCTCACACCTTAACCCACTCTGTCCTGGTCTCACACCTTAACCCACTCTGTCCTGGTCTCACACCTTAACCCACACTGTCCTGGTCTCACACCTTAACCCACACTGTCCTGGTCTAACACCTTAACCCACACTGTCCTGATCTAACACCTTAACCCACACTGTCCTGGTCTAACACCTTAACCCACACTGTCCTGGTCTAACACCTTAACCCACACTGTCCTGGTCTAACACCTTAACCCACACTGTCCTGATCTAACACCTTAACCCACACTGTCCTGGTCTAACACCTTAACCCACACTGTCCTGGTCTCACACCTTAACCCACACTGTCCTGGTCTAACACCTTAACCCACACTGTCCTGGTCTCACACCTTAACCCACACTGTCCTGATCTAACACCTTAACCCACACTGTCCTGGTCTCACACCTTAACCCACACTGTCCTGGTCTCACACCTTAACCCACACTGTCCTGGTCTCACACCTTAACCCACACTGTCCTGGTCTAATACCTTAACCCACTCTGTCCTGGTCTCACACCTTAACCCACACTGTCCTGGTCTCACACCTTAACCCACACTGTCCTGGTCTCACACCTTAACCCACACTGTCCTGGTCTCACACCTTAACCCACACTGTTCTGGTCTAACACCTTAACCCACACTGTCCTGGTCTCACACCTTAACCCACTCTGTCCTGGTCTCACACCTTAACCCACACTGTCCTGGTCTCACACCTTAACCCACACTGTCCTGGTCTCACACCTTAACCCACACTGTCCTGGTCTCACACCTTAACCCACACTGTCCTGGTCTCACACCTTAACCCACACTGTCCTGGTCTCACACCCTAACCCACACTGTCCTGGTCTAACACCTTAACCCACACTGTCCTGGTCTCACACCTTAACCCACTCTGTCCTGGTCTAACACCTTAACCCACACTGTCCTGGTCTCACACCTTAACCCACACTGTCCTGGTCTCACACCTTAACCCACACTGTCCTGGTCTCACACCTTAACCCACACTGTCCTGGTCTCACACCTTAACCCACACTGTCCTGGTCTCACACCTTAACCCACACTGTCCTGGTCTCACACCTTAACCCACACTGTCCTGGTCTCACACCTTAACCCACACTGTCCTGGTCTCACACCTTAACCCACACTGTCCTGGTCTCACACCTTAACCCACACTGTCCTGGTCTCACACCTTAACCCACTCTGTCCTGGTCTCACACCTTAACCCACACTGTCCTGGTCTCACACCTTAACCCACTCTGTCCTGGTCTCACACCTTAACCCACACTGTCCTGGTCTCACACCTTAACCCACACTGTCCTGGTCTCACACCTTAACCCACACTGTCCTGGTCTCACACCTTAACCCACACTGTCCTGGTCTCACACCTTAACCCACACTGTCCTGGTCTCACACCTTAACCCACTCTGTCCTGGTCTCACACCTTAACCCACACTGTCCTGGTCTCACACCTTAACCCACACTGTCCTGGTCTAACACCTTAACCCACACTGTCCTGGTCTCACACCTTAACCCACACTGTCCTGGTCTCACACCTTAACCCACACTGTCCTGGTCTCACACCTTAACCCACACTGTCCTGGTCTAACACCTTAACCCACACTGTCCTGGTCTCACACCTTAACCCACACTGTCCTGGTCTAACACCTTAACCCACACTGTCCTGGTCTCACACCTTAACCCACACTGTCCTGGTCTCACACCTTAACCCACTCTGTCCTGGTCTAACACCTTAACC